TTCATGATGAAAAAAGTGTTTGCAATTTGAAAGCCCGAGTGCTTCACCTTTGCCGGCTTCGGTAACGCATATGAGGCACTCATTTTTTTCCACATTCATAATGAATGTGGGCTCGTGTGATGCTACGTCTACCGTTAATTTTAGATCTCGAAGCACTTTTTCTGTGTTTCCAAAATATTCCTCTTTTGCGACCTCAGAGAGCCACTTGCACTGTTGGAGCAACAAGATGGATGCTGGAAGTGAAAGGCAGGTAAGCAAGCGTACTTTTTCCACATCTATCATAAGAAGTTCCATGAGCTCTGAATGAGAAACTGTTTTGGCATTTCCATTTATTAGGCTTGTTTGAGTATTATTACTGTCCTCAAGTTCAGGGAAGGAACGTGCGTATGGTTCTTGTTGTGCCGACTCATCATTATTATAGTTATCATCATCGTAGTAATACCAGCTATCCTCCATTATGTTTATATAGACCTTTTCTGGTAATAAAAGAGGCGTTAAAAAATCCTACGTAATATTATACGGTATAAATTGTGGTAAGATAAATATTAAACAGCTCATCGCCTAAAAATTGAAAACAAGTGAAATAAATTGAATGCTTATTATTCAACAATTTTGTTACATAGTAAAATTTTTTAAATAATTAATTCTTATTTCGTAAACAACTTTGGACCTTACTTTTTTGTTGTTTTTATAAGAAATTGAAAATATTATTATTATGAACAATAACAGTGTGGAACAGAACCTCAAATATGAAGGTATTATTAAAAAATTATGAATGGTTCTCCTTTCAAAATTCGAATAAAATATTTAATTATTCAGTTTTTTATTTAACATGCAACAATATTTTGCATAATTGGTCCCTACTGCAATATATAAGGATTGATACATGCAAAAACTAATACTATATCTAATTTTATCATTTTCTTATATTAAACAATTCAAACTCATTAAGATCGGAGATCACATATACATAATTGTATTTGATTATTATTATTTTTTTTATACCGCTGAAAATATTTCAACATTATAGCTTTAAATTACTTGGAGTGATGCAAGACAATTCTTGCTATACATATTAAGTAAGGATGATCTATCAGTATCTTTATATGTCAAATGATAAGAAGCTACATGAGGATAGAATGTTTTTTGTGTCTATTTGAATTTCAGAATAATCAAAATGTCACTGGTAAAACAACCAAAATATATTAGTAGAGTACAGTTAAAAAAGACAGATTGTAATTATCTTTTTTTTGTCTAAAAAGGGTGTTAAAACATTAGTTCAGATAATTGCAGAGGAAAAGTCTATACCAATATACATGCAATATAAGGAATGACATTTCATATTGTAAAAGCGAAGTGAAACTAGTCTATACTCTTAACATTTATACAAAATATAAATGTATTGAAACCACAGG